TAGCTGGCCTGCGATTGCAAACGAGAGCCCGGGACCAAATGCCCGTGTGGTGTTACCAGCAACGGCACCATCGCTTATGTGCACTCTGAATGGGGAACCCATGACATGAGCACCCCTGTACCTTACCTCGAGTTCAGCTTGACCGCTCTTAAGTGGAGTGTACGTACAAATTGTAGAGCCGTTTCCAAACGAGTTGCTGCACGAGCCATTTGTATCAGAGATTATCCCACAAGAAATGTATTCGTCTTCCCCCAAAACGGAATTCCCGTACGCATCACGGGCAGTCGCAGTGAAGTTCGTGGCTACATTTACTGTCGCCGTTTCAAGTCCTGGGCCCCAATCTGCACTGCTAGCATACGCCACCGCGGCGTTTGATTCTACCACGTGCAGGAAAGGCGACCCTTTGATATGAAGGTCATGTATGGTCACAGCAAGTTCATGAACCCCAGAAATTTTTGGCCGCACAAATGCAAAATAAGTCCCATTCCCTGCATCCACAATGCTTCCGATTGTAGTAGCGCTGTGAGGTGATCCACGATGACTAGCCTCCCAGTCTTCGAGTTTGCTTGGTTCGCTCAGGACGTACTTGGCCATTATGTCGAACACATCGCCACCAACATGTCGTCTATTGCCTAAGGCATCAACCGATACAATAGTGAACTTTGAGGTTATCCCTGCAATGCCATTGTAAAGTCCAGTCCCAATGGCGAAGCAGCTTGCAGCGAATGCGCGTGTCGGAGATACTTTTACCTGCAGGATTATTGGATCATGGGCAGACCAAGGAATTCAGGGTAGATCGAACCTCGAAGGGGCTGCGAAAGATGCGCTTGTCGCTTAGTGGCCCTGTCGCCAAATCATCATGAGAGTGGTTAGCTCTGTAAGACACATCCAAGTCGTACGAGCCAGATCCTGTCGAGTATCCGTGAGCGCGAACAATACTACCAACCAAATCCAGCGAAAGAGAAAATTGAACCACGATGGGAGATTCCTGTGCTGGGTTCCTCAGGGTCGCATTTGCTTTCATGTTCAAGCTGTCACGACTTTTAAGCGAGCTGGGACTGAACGCCATCGTGCGGATTTTAGCGACTGGAAGTGCATACAAAAATGGCTTCAGATCGTCGCAACGGTTCCCGAACACATCAGCAAGCACCACTTGAAATACAAGCGGGTGACCAGCCTCGCCGGCAGTCAACCCGCCCCCGACACCAAAAGAGCGTTCAGCAGACACCGCGGCAGAGGCAACCTCAACGACAGTTGGGGAAGTATGGAGTTCGTTTACGTAATACCTATTTCATTACCATGTTCGCAAGAATTTGACAAGATGCGCCGGATGCCCGTCGATGAAGGCTCTACTCAAAAACAAATAATCAGGGGAAATAATCGTACGTGATGTGGATGTCGACGACCATTCAAGTGAAATACCCTTATTACACCCAACTAGGTCTCTTTTCCCGCCACCAAGAAAACATCCTTGAGCAGGACGAGAGAGGCGCAATTCGAGGACGATCGAGTGCAAATGACCCGCCTTGGAATGTATGGGCACCTTCAACCCAAACTCTGGATAATTCCGAGCTCTCCAGGAATCCGCTATCAGCCTGCCGTCAAACCAGAGTCGCACACCAGTTCCTTCACCAAGAGTAGTTACATACAGAAAGTAGGGCTCACTGTAGCTTGGACACAACCGACCACTCCACCGCACAAAATTAGTGTCCAATCCCAGTTCAATCTGTGGCGAATCACCCACTTTAAGATATCCGTACTCCCAGCGAAAATTTACTTGTGCATCTGTACGTACCACGGCTTCCTTTGCCCAG